AACCAGCCCGCTCATGAAAACTCATGCTCTACGTGATTCACATCGCGCGCTAAATGTTATCATGACAGTCTTTGCGATATACAAATCTGGCAACGTCGATTTTGACGCTTTGGCTCAGCTATAGCAAATTGCTAATAGTTTGAACAACACATGGTGGGAAATGAACATAGCTGGATTGAGAAGATCGCTGAAACCGTCACGGTGCTCCAATTTCAAGTCCGCAACAAATTCCGGGATTCGGAACTTTTTTGCTCCAATTTCTCCCACTTCATGACCGTCATAAGTTCCGGGATTCCTTTTAGATTTTTTCGAAAGTTCCGCAAAATGCAAAAAATCCGGAACCTCCCGGAAATTTCAAAAGTTCCGGGAAAAATGCAGGAAAATCTCAAAAGTTCCGGAATTCTGTATTGGTTCCGGGAATTAGGAGCACTGCCATTAAGGCTAAGTAAGAGGGGAGCTTGGTAAATTTTAAAATATTAACCTGAAGCTTAAGCGTGAGCTGACACGTAAAAAGCAGTGGCGTCATGCCATTTAAACCTATAGTAAAGAATCAATTATTAAGGTGTTCACTGCGAACGCTCTGATTATCGACCCTTTTCCATAGGTTTAAACGGCATACAAATCGATATATCGCAGAGCACGCCACGCCACTGGTCAAAAGCGAAGTGCACGTTACTTTTCATCCCTTACGTATACACGAAGAGCCCAAATGAATAAATAAGACAGACAAATTTTCATCCTAATCCGGATTCATGGGACTCTTTACTCCTTTAGGGTCTTTCCGAAGTGATGCATTCGGACGTATTCACGCTAAAAAAACTATGTGCATTTGGTTTGCGTGAAACATAGTTTCTTTTACCATAAACACGTCCATTTGTGATTCCGTCGGACTCAGTTCGATGGAAATCTCTGTTGGTCCATAAAGCGTAGTTGCCGCTGTCATCCGATATCCTGCACTAGACATGAATTGCATTTTGCAAAAAGGAACCAGGATCATTGCAGTGTTGCTAAGATTGCTAAGAACTTTTTGTCTTGGAAAAAAAAAACCTGATCTTCCATCAACAGTTTCTATTTCACTCGCTAAAAGCTGACATTTCAGACAAAAATTACCATGTTCATTTCGTATTTTTTCATGATTTCAGAAATTTTACTGCATAGGATGAAGTCGCACAATCTTAGCACCAATGCAATACTTCTGCTTCCTTTTTGCGAAATGCAATCCATATATTGGAGACATAAGTTGGATCGCAGTTAGCAAAGGGGACCCAGCGCGATTTCTGTTGTTTTCATAATCGTGCAATTTCTTCTTCCTTTTTAAAAATGCTCAATAAATGTGCAGTATCAAAATTTACACAATTATTTTCCTTTAAAATTAGAAAAAAATGATTCACAAAATCATTCTTCCCTGGTAAAAATTGGCGCAGTAGAATCTGTGTTCTTAAATACCATAGACCTACAGCCGGCTGTAAGATTTCCAATAGCTTCTTTAGCCGGCAAGACAATTTCTTATAGCCTTTTATAGCCGATGGCGACTAAGCAACAGCCAGGCGATAAAGTGTATGCTAAACGTTACTAATTAAGGATGCTAGGACTTCGTGAGTTTTTGGAATACTGCTCTCTTTTTGGGCCGTAGTATCTTGATTTATTTCGCGAGGAAAGCTCCGTACTTTTGAAGAATGCCTGCCATTCCTAAAATGTTGGAGCGCCTTCAATTTCGTATGATACTGTGCAATACCTTTGGTGTGAAATAGTTGCTTCAAGCGCCGTGGTACGCTGCGGCGCGGCGCAGCGGGCAGGCAGCCAGTGCGCCGCCGCTCCGCTTTGTGTTAGGCTCTAATATTTCATCTCGTGGAGTCAGCGTTTTCAACTCATGACTTTGAAATAGTTGCACACTCTGTATGGATTATTCTCATTTTAATTGATGAAAAAAATATGCGTTTTGTAAATATTAAGGTGATTCCGTACAAACTTAAGGATTTACAAAGCACACAAATTTCTACACAATTTCGTATAGCCTTTTATAGCCGATGGCGAAAAAGCAACAGCCAGGCAATAATAAGTGTAAAGCCCGGCGATAAGAACTATAGCCCGGCTGCATAATTTTTTATCGCTTCGTATAGCCCGGTCGTATGATTTTTTCCACTTTCTACAGCCAGCTATATGATTTTCTGTAGCCTTCTTCAGTCGGCTATAAGAACTCCTATGGTATTTTGAAACGCAGCTTCTATCGCCAATTTTTACCAGGGTTCCCATGTCCATTCTGGCAACCAACGAGTCTGCATCTCCGAACGAATCTCCCTAAATCGCCCGATTCAGTTGAGTAAACCTCGGTAGACTTAAGACGGCGAGAACGAACGCTAGACGGTGATATGTGGCCTTTTGAAGAGCATTGATATGCAGCCCTCTCGGTTTCGCAAATATAAATGATGTAGATTCTCACCCGTGCACGTACTGGATCTACCGCTCCTCCGAGCTTTTCTTGCGTTTCGCATCTCACAACACAGCCGCTTAGACCGCATGATTTGCGACTTTGATAAAGCCTTTGCCGTTATCGCGTTGCAGGGAAACTTGAAAGTCATATTTCCAGTTTTAGGAATGGCTTTGAGAGATGAACCTTGATTATCTCCCATCTAACGCAGCGGGGATTGTATATTCATCAAGGGAAAATAAAGCATTCTTGATTCGCAGAAAATTAATATTTCCTGCTTTATGAGCTAGTGAACGAAATCAACTACTTGAAGTAGAATTCGTCGTTTCACAGACGGAGTAACGTAAATATAGTTCATGGTTGCATAAGTGCCTTAAGTATTTTAATTTTTCACCAGGACACAACCGCGCAGTTTCCGTGAAAAAGTTTGTTAATTTTTTGAAGGAATCATGCAGAAGAAAGTAAAAAAATGAGTGACTGCCAAAAATTCCATACAGCTTTTTAGTACAAATACAATTTACAACGTTACACACATATTTGCAACGTGGAAATTTAGTTGCGTTTTTCCGTCTTCTAAACAACGGAATGATACATACGCATTAGAAATTCATAGAACACCCTATTTTATTTACGATGATACTACTTACACTGCCCGTGCTTATTGCGAACGCTGCTGGAGGATCCAAATGTTATCAAACTTACTCCTGAAGACGTTTTTCCTTGATTTCCACAATCAGCCCGCTGGTCCACTTTCTGAAAATTTCCTTTTTTGTGCTTGCTGCTAGTGGCACTTTCTGCGCGTTCGCAACGCTGCTTTTCCTCTTTTTAAACTCACTGAAAATACCGATTTCAGGTGGCACTAAGAATCGATCTTTTTACATACATATAAATGGCGGAAAACGCAAACTTTCAAGAATCGCCTCCGTCTCTTCAGTAAGACAGTAGAAATTATATTCGCCGGTTTTTCGCAGTGCTCGTATCTCGAGGATGTGCTGCATAGGCACTACTGCCATGCTAAGAAAGAGCGCCGTATGAACATTCGAGAGTTGCCAAATTTCCGCGGATAAAACATGTATTTTTGACGAAATTAATGCATATTTTTCCTTGAAATGTTCAGATATTTTAGATTAAATTGCGAACAAAACTGTCTGAAAAATATTTACCGTTTCCCCAAGAAATTTGTAATTTATCAGAGTAAATTTGGCAACGTCTGAAGGTTCATACGGCGTTCCTCCTTAGCACGGCAGAATAGAAAACGGCGCGGCCGCGGCGTCGACAATCTGCGTTCATCCGTTGGCCTAGGCGAATTTGACTGTTAAATTATAACGTTGCGCAGTGCAGCCGTGCAGTCATGGGTAATGAATGCTCCGCGGACGCTGCAAGCGGTAATTACTTCGCTCTCGAAAGTTGCCCTCAGCACCCTCATCGTGTTATTCTCGCTCGCTTCTGTAGCCCTGCTCCGCACGACGAGCACCTAAAAATTCCCTTCAAATTAAAATTATCGATGGCCAAAGTGCGAAACCACGTATCTCCATCGTGTGTTTCAAAATCTTTGCTTCTGATTCATTAAACGAGGGGCTGCAAGCCAATTTTATCGCTTTAAATTCAAACTGCAGAATACACTGCTAACGGAGAAGAAAAATTAAGGAAGTTTTCAACAAATTACATCGGCTAGTTTTCTGAAGAAAGTCATAGGCGCATCCAGCAATTTGGCAACACCGAATTTCCTCATTTCAACCTGTATTAAATGATAGATTCTTGTCGAAGCATCTGGCCCCTCCGGGAATCGATATATTTCCATAACTTCAAATGGAGAAAAAACAATGTTGCCAATTTGCTAGATCCGCTAAAGAAGGAAGTATATTATGAAATGCGTAGTCTGCAATGTCCCAAACGGAGATATAAGGTTTCACACTTCGGCCATCGATGTGCAACTCCAAGATAGCAGAATTTGATGCATCGAGTTTCCGCAAGGATGGAAATTTTCGAGTGACGAAGACAAAATGTTGCGAGAAAAAAATCTATATTTTTGCCTCGTTTTAGAACAACATTATCATTCAATTGTTTAACATTTATTTCAAAACCTTTTTTGCAAGGCTGTCGTGATGTGATGAAGCCATCACATCACCCAAATCTGAACGCAGATTTATGCCTGAAATTGGTAAAATACTTTCTCTGTTTTAATACATTTAGATGTCGACGTTCATTTTTACGGATTGAGAACTCTCGATTCTGACCAGCTCAAAAATAATGAAAGAATGATTAACGTGCTGAATTATTTGAAAACACGGAGCATTTCATATCCCGAGTGCTATCGCAAAATCAAATAAAAAACGCCGCGTATGATACAGTTCTATCGGATTGCATCCATTTTCAAGCAATGACATAAAAAGCATGCAATATTTCCCTCAATATTGGGCGTAAAAACTTGACGTTCGAACCAGCGATATTTTTTTGGCCAATTTACGAGATCTCGCTAATGAAACACGAACCTTTGACACACGTATTTGATTTATTCCCTTCATCCGTTTTTACGACCAACTCATTTAACGACTTCAATTTTTTTTTCCAGATAATATTTCCCGTTGTTTGCATGGGCATACTGGCCCAAACCACGAGCCACCTCCTGCGTGAGACAAGGGACGCAGTCACATCCACAACCACAGCGGTGCCAAGCCAGAGTGCCAACCTGACGGCTACCAACCACACCGAGGATGCCATAAACCACACATCCAGTGCGAATGTAACGCGAGAGGTCAGGGAGACAGCCAACACCACAGAGGCCCCAATTCACAACGCCAACCTAACAGACAGCAAAAGTCACAGTGACGTCATCAACGCAACCAACGCAGCCAACCACACCATCCACAAGCGGGAGACCAAGGAAGCAGCGAACGCTACCGAGGCCCCAAGTGCCAACTTGACACTCAGTGACGTCACGAACCACACCAGTAGTGCCAACCTAACACGGGAGACCCGCGCCACAACAACCGAAGTCCCGAACTCCGCCAATTTAACCCAGAGTGACGTCGCAAACCACACCAATAGTGCCAACCTAACACGGGAGACCCGCGCCACAACAACCGAGGCCCCGAACTCGGTCAATTTAACCAAGAGTGACGTCGCCAACTTCACTACCAGTGCCAACCTAACGCGAGAAATCAGGGAAGCGTGCCAGAGTGCCAAACTCACGGAGAACATCGAGGTCGCGAACCACACAGAAATCGCGAACGACACGGAGAGCGCAAACCACACGGACATTGCAAACCACACGGACATCGCGAACCACACGATCGTCACCGTCCACGACCACATCCAGGTGGCCGGCCACACGGCCGTCCAGCCGGACATCGTCCTCCTGGGCCACTCGGAGGCCGACCACACCCAGTTCCACGACTTCGCCCACCAGTACCTCTTCGCCCTGCAGCACTACCAGCACGCCCTCGAGGTCCAGAACATCCACCGGGAGATGGAGCTCGCCCACGCGCACGCTCTGCGACTCACCGCGGAACCCGAGGCTGTCAAACCAGAAGCCGAATCTGCAAAGGTAGAAACGGAGACGGTGGAGTCGAAGAAGGTTGAGGATACAAAGGCGGACCTTAAGGTGAGGCCGGACTGTCAAGCTGAGGAGGAAGAGGCTGAGTCTCAGAAGGCTGAGATCAAGGCTGAGCCTCAGAGGGCTGAGATCAAGGCTGAGGCCCAGATCGGAGCGACTTTGGCCCCAGAGGAAGCTAGAAAGCCTAAATCAGAGGTGGATACTTTCACGACGAAGCCACCGAAAGATGCGGAGGAAGACTATTTTTCGGAACAGCAGTCGGCTGAGGATGAGGACTCGTCGGAGGAACTGGTCGACCCGGTGCCCAGTGGGTCTATGTTGGGGGTTGTCTACTCCGCGTCTACTGATGTATCCAAGACGCGGTATGTCAACTCGAATGGGGTTGGTTACGTTTTCTGAAATGAAAGTCCTGATGAAAGCTGAATAAAAGTTCAGCTGATTTTGGAAGCCGTGCTCGTGTTTGATCTCGGTGAGGTGGATGATATTCTTATGATCCACTGCTATTTATTGAAATTCATCTGAGTTATTGTATCTAATTTATTTTTGCGTGAAATGTCAGAATGTCTTGACGTGTGATACATCACCTTTGGATGGGTGTAATTTGTGATTATTTATTTATTATTTATTGACTTATTTATTTCCGGATCTGCGATTTTATTTATTCAATGTGTTATTCCTTTACATTTTTGCTCTTACTGTTATTACCTGTCCCAAAAAGTGGTGTATAGTTACACGTGACAACGAACAATTTTTTTAGAACTTTTAAAGGGACAATTTTGTGAATATGAGCTAAAAGCTGTTGATTTTTGCTAAATTTTGAGACCAATATCATCTTTGTAAAACAAACCGTTCAGAAGACATGCCAGTTTAAAGTTTGAACTTTAACGCCACTTCCCATCTCCCTAATCATTCAATATCTGAAATTGTCAGTGTTTTGGACTCGAGAAGTGATCTTTTATCAACCCTGAAAATATTTCGAAGATCAGGCCGAGGTTGGAAAAGGCCATTTTTTTTTTTAATCGATGAATTTAATTGAATCGATGCTGCTTAGCTCAATATTGAGTAGAACCAACATTTTTGGACCTTATTTTTGTGTCTTTGTATAGATATAGGTGCTGATGGCAACATCAAAGTGGCCTTGAAAATGAAATGTAAATTACTAAACAATTTTGAAATTTCTCTCGCAAATAAATTGTTCCATCTACATAAGAAACGCTAAAAATAAGACTCGTTGCGTCAGTTCAAATGTTACAGAAGAAAATGGAGCGATCGTCCCAGCAATTAAAAATTATTTCTACTCGACTGGGATCCAACGCTCCTTCAAAGGTATTACTTAGATATTCCGCGAAAACAGCATTATATTGGACCGCTGTTTACATTTTGGCCAATTGTCCTACCGTGCTAAGAAAGAACGCCGTAAGAACCTTCAGGCGTTGCCAAAATTACTTAAATAAACCAAAAATTTACTGGGGCAATTATGAATAATTTTCACCACATTTTTCAGACAATTTTGTTCACAATTTGATCACATAAAGCGGAAAATTTAAAGAAAAAATATGCCTAACTCCCCTAAAAAATACATATTTTATTATGGAAAACTTGACAAATCGCGAATGTTCATACGGTGTATTTCCTTAGCACGGCGGTATCGATCCTCCGCCTTAGCAACTGGCACAGGATATGAGGTGTGTGGATCACCGCACTAATAGACACGATCTAATTGTGCGCTTTTGTGTAACAGGAAGCAAGGACGCCCAATGTGTGGCCTGATTGCTGAAACTGATAGACAAAGAAGACATTAGGAGTATGGACCGATCCGATTGGTTGAAATGGGTAGTTCTTATGGACTATGGTAGAAAATGATGGATTAACTACAGGGCCTCCCGTGGGTTGCTGTTAGTTAGTCTATTACCCATCTCCTTTGTCCATCGCAACTACCCACTTACATAAATAGCATCCCTCCATATCTTTTTTGTCTTCTTCGTCTATCGCTTTGTCTACTAATTTCAGGAACGGGAAGATGAAGCAGACGGAGAAAAATGAAGGAAGGAAGAGGAGAAGAGAGCAATGATGGAAATAGAGAATAAGAAAAAGGAGAGAGGTCGGAGGAGGATGAAATATACTCTGAATAAAAAGTCTGATCGTATTAACTGAAGTTCGGTGTTCCATATCATCTCAACTAATTCGGTTCGTCCAACCGTACCTGTGCGGTAAAGTGAACTGACGAACAAAGTTCGGTCACCTGAGCCGAAAGTTCAGTTTGACAAACCGAATAGCTGGGATGTTATGTAACTTTGAACGATCGGTTCATATGACCGAAGTTTTTTTCAGTGAGACTGATAAATTTGAGGAAGGGTGAGGAGAATGGAGCGAAGAGTGGCGAGGAAGCAAAATATTATCCACGAAGAAAAAAAACGGAGCAAGAGATGAAGAGGATCCTCATTTATAAGAAAAAGAAGTCGAAGAAGGAGAGGGGTAGGTCATCGATTTTCCCCCATCCCCTCGCACGTTCCAACCCCCGCCGCCCCCATCTCATTCTCGATACCATTATTAGGTAATGTAATGACACACAATTGATTTACAGCTGCATAATTATTCATCGTCTGGGAGTTCGAACGTAAAATAGCACCTTGCATCCGCAACGACAGGAAACATTCAATTGACCGAAGGAAACGCTCGGCTCATTGGTATTCCTCGCGAGAATTGTCATCTCGCCTCCGAGGGTTGTGCAGGCGGAGGGGGTGGAGTTGGGGGTGGGGTCTGGGTGGGGGTGGGGGTGCCTCCCGTGTCGCTCATAACTCGCTTTGATCGTCGATTCCTCATTTTAATTGTGCGACTCTCGGTTCACATTCGCACTGTCGTCGTCTCCTATTATGCCGTGCTTAGGAAAGACGTCGTATGAGCCTTCAGACGTTGCCAAATTTCCCTTGACAAATCACTAATTTCCAATGGAGATGTTGCATGTGTGAGGAATTTGCGATTTGACTATTGATTCACATGTAAAAGTTCGCGAGAAACACGATAGTGCCACTGGTTTTCCCTGAAATCAACTCCTAAGTTCATAAAAAGCTCTCAAAGTCGAGGTAAAATGGATGGGATATCCCACGCTATCCACAGAGTCCACCTCTACATCCAGACAAACTCTCCATGCAAAGATAGGGAGCAAATACATTGACAGGGCTGCCACTTTATTTGGGGACTCCAAAACTGAAAACACGGCAACCATACTAATGTATTTGCTCCCTATCTTTGCATGGAGAGTTTGTCTTGATGTAGACGTGGACTCTCAGGAAAGCGTGGGATATCCCCTCCATTTTTCCTCAACTTTGAGACCTTCTTTTGAGCTTGGGAGTTGATTTCAGGGAAGACCAGTGGCACCATCGTGTTTCTCGCGAACTTTTACATAAGAATGAATAGTCAAATCGCAAATTCCTCACACATACAACGTCTCCATTAAGTCCCTTTATACCCAGAATTAATTCTTCTCGATTATCAGCTGGCCTCGGCTGGCCATGGTGTCACAAAAGTGTGTACCCTAACGAACGATACTGAGGGATAAAGATAAGAAACCCTGCAATATCTGCCATCCAAAAACAACACCATCAACAAAACTGATCAAAACCTACTAAGGAAATTGCAATAAAATAAAATGAGATTGATTTGTGAATTATTTCTTAATCTATTTTCAGTTTTGTGCTATGAAAAGAACTATGTACTTTTGATAAATCACAATTAGGTTATATATTAATTATGTTAGTTCACATTCGAGCCACCGCTATCTTGGCACACTCTTTTGTGACTTCATGAGCGAGAACCAATCAAAGTTGGATTTTTTTAGGCCACTTTTAGTTGTCTCTGAGCCCAACCGAGCCGGGACAGAAGTGAGATGTCGTAACTCTGGGTATAAAGGGACTCTGATTTTCAAGAAAATTTGTGAATATTTTTCTTCTCATTTCTCAAGTAATCTCGTTTCAATTTTATCCAAAAAGTCTGAAAAGTGCAAGGAAAAATGTTGATAATTTTCCTCATAAGTAAACATTTAATCGAAGGAGATTTGGCAACTCTCGAATGTTCATACGGCGTTCTTCTTTAGCACGGCAGTATTCGCCATTTTCAGCGGTCACCCCCTCCCCCCTTCACACTCCCCGAGTTTAAGTTTAATTTTACCCCGAATGCCGAAGCTCTCTAATCCACTCCGTCATCCCGACAATTTTGCCGATTTCACTCATATGAGTTCGGTTGGGCAAATGCAAAAGAGAAGATGTATTTTGGTTATCAAAGTCGGTTAAATTTGTCGAACTGGGTTTCAGGACAGTTTATCAACGATTTTGGGCACCTTTTTTGTCCAGTAGTTTACGCCCACACGTAAAATAAGCAACGGTTACTTGGTCAAAGCGTTATATTTTAGTCGGTATTTAAAATTATATTGACAATACAGAAATGAGAAATTGAGAGAGAAGGAGGTGTTGTTATGGTTGCTCATTTTCTAAATGAAATGTCATTACTTTCTCCTTTTGAATCATCTTTTTAAATTGTCATTGGTATGAATATTTGGTTTCATTTCTATCCTTAGAATATTCGATGTACAATATACCTTATATGTGTATAGGTACTTTTTTTATTTTTTTAATTTTTTCTTCTACGAAATTATTACTTCATTTTGAAAACATTTATATTTTTAAAACGTGACAAATATTTGTAAAACCTTTTCCAAGCGACATATTGATCTCAATGAGCCGCAGTTGTGCCGACAAGAACTTCAAAAATGAATAAAAGAGGAAAAAAACCAAGAAGCACGCAATCTTTAGTTTTAATTCATTTGTACATAGATCTTTCATAGTCAAATACGTCAAATTCTGAGCGTTTGGTTGCGCGTACACCTAGCTGCAGCACAATAAAAGCACAAAATGTGAGAGAAAAAATTAAAGTTCTTTGGAAATCATTGAATTTGACATGAAACCACCAATATTTAAAAAACACACATTATATTATTATTTTCCTTAGATAAATTGATACATATTTTTTTCCCTTCAATTTAAATGAGAATAATCAATGCAGAGTGTGCAAACATTTCAAAATCCTGAGTAAAAAACGCTGACTATGCGAGTATAAATATCAAAACCTAACAGAGCGAAGCAGCGTGCTACCAGCGCGAGAGGCTCACTGGCGCCTACAAACCTAAGTGGATACTTCACGCATTGCACAATGCTTGAAGTATCCACTTAGGTTTGCAGGCGCCAATGCACGTTACGCGCTGGCCGCCCACCCGCCACGGCGCCTGAATCAACTATTTCACAACAGAGGTGTTGCACAGTATTATACGAAATTGAGCGTACTAAGAATGACAGGCCTCCTTTAAAAGTACAGATCTTTCCTCTCAAAATAAATCAAGATCCTTATCGTACCCAGGAAAAATATAAGAGCCTTTAGCTGAGGCAGATGTAGAGGTTTATCCGGTTCAGGTATAACAAGGGGGGAACTTCTTGAAAGATAATTAAGTCTTGTTATACCAAAGAGGTGTAGAGAGTTTTAGTGAATTTTGTCTCATGGAATTGACGCTCCCCCATTTTTACTAAAAACTCTCAAATATATTTTATTCTCCGTCGGACCAAACAGACAAAACAAGAAAACCCTCATTCTTCCAA